CAGAATGCTTATTGGCTGCAAGGAGAAAAATAGTTATTATACAGGGAAGAATCACTGTGATAAGGTGATGAATTTAATGTCACTAATGAAGGACAGGTAGACATCATGTGCCTCCTGAGGCAATACCCTAAGAAATACAATATCCTTTATAGTATCCTAGCAGGGCATGCATTGTCAAATTTAGTCACAAGAAAATATCAGATGAACCCAAACTAAGGTACAAATGACTGGCCCATAGTCTTCAAAAATTTCAATGTCAAAGGAGACAAAGACAAGCTGAGAAACCATTCTAGATTAAAGACCAGACGCATAACAACTAAATGAATACAAAAACATAAGGGGCCGTATTGGGACAACTGACAAAATAGAATATGGCCTGTACCAACATGAACATTCCTGAATTTGATAACTGTACTGCGATTACATAAGAGAATACCCTTGTTAAGTACTCAGGGATAAAAGGACATGGTATATTCAAATATTTTCAGATGATTACAAAATGTAAATAGTTACCACTCTGTGCATATATGTACATGTCTGTGTGTGTGTATGTCTATATAAATAGATAGAATGAATATGACAAAGTACTTTAAAATGGTGAATCTGGGTCCTACAGACAAGAGGCATTACCTAATCCATTTTCCCTTCACATAGTACTAAGGGTTCCTAGGAGTGGGAAGACCTAATACACTGGAAAGTAGCACTTACATTTGAATCCCTTTGATGATCCCTGCCTTTAGAAATTCCAATTTCTTTCAGCCAGTGTTTCCTAAACTATGGCCCAGGCAACACTAGTGTGTCTGGAGATGTATTTGACCCTCATTTGCATTCACAATCCACATTAAGATTTTTAATGCACTGTATGTAAAACCATGTCTTAGGGACATCTGTTTAATTTTAACTTAATAGTTCTCAAATTTATTTAACCACAGACATCTTTTCTAGGAAGACCTATGAATTTCTATGAATTCTTGTGAGGTGCTAGTATCCTATGGAACACAGTTTGGAAAATGCTTTTCTAAACCAAACTCAAGTTTTTGGCATTGAATACTGTTAGGTCTTAGAAGCCACCTATCTTTCATTCCAGTGAATTTTGTTACTGGTAATGACCCTTGCTGGGGGACTCTGAGCCTATTATTACTTGATGTCTTTGAAATTTAGAAGCTGGTATAGCAAAGATTGCACTGAGATTTTAAGGGCAGATCTGGATATAATCAGGAAACATTTAGGAAAACTGAATTAAGAAAAACATTTTAAATTAAATTTGAGCCTCTATTCTACAATGTGGGAGTAGAATAGTGTAAAAGAGTTGGCAAGGTTGCTGTGAAACTGGTTCAACAAAGAACAAAGCAAAACCCACTTTTGGTGGTGAGGTAAATCAACGTAACCTCAGAATGTCAATCTGAAGCAAGAACTATAAAATATTCACATCTTTTCTCCTAGTGGTTTCATTTCTGGAACTTTATACCAGCAAATAATCAAAGAAAAAAACATTTTGTCTAAGAATATTCAGAATAGGGGCACCTGGGTGGCTCAGTCAGTCCAGCATCCAACTCTTGGTTTGGGCTTAGGTCATGATCTCAAGGTTCATGGGTTCAAGCCCCAAGTTGACTCTGCGTTGACAGTGCGGAGCCTGCTTGGGATTCTCTCTCTCTCCCTTTCTCTCTGCCCCTCCCCTGCTCAAGTTCTCCCTCTCAAAATAAATTAACAACAACAAAAAAGAATATTCAGGATTATTGTTACCAACAAAAAATGGCATGCCCATTGAGTGTTCCTGCACTCAGTAAATGGGCCCACCAGCAGCACAGTGACCTTAGCTAGAAACCCGGCATAACACTAGACTGCTCCACCTCCTTCACTCCCCCACTCCCACACCCATTGTTTCTACTCTCCAAGCATCTCTCAAGTCTGTCCACGTTCTTTATTTCCATGTCACTACCTGAGTCGAGGTGTCATCACCCCCTACCTAGCCTGCTGCTGCCATCTCCTGAGTGACCTCCCTGCTTCTCTCTCTCCCATCCAGTCCACTCTGCATACCACATAGTGACCCTTCTAGAATGATAATCTCATGATGTCAATCTATCTGCTTGGAAACACTGAACTGCCTTTAGGGTGAAGCTCAAATTCCTCGGCATGACTTTCAACATCCTGCTTGAAGACACCCATTGACCACCTTCACCATTCCCACTGCCCAGGCACAGGGGATTTCTTGTAGTTCCCTGAACGTCGAGCTACATCTCACCTTCAGACCTTTGCACACACTCTTCCCTCTGCCTGGGCCGGCCTTCCTCACCTCTCAGTACTTTGGGAAACAGGGACCTATGTTTATTACCTTTGCTACCTCACATCTCACTCACCATACAATCTGATTTCTGCCTCATCATTGCCCCATTTCCCTCGACAAAGTCATCAGAGAAAGAAAAAGATAACAAAGGAAAGGAAAGCAAAGAGAGAAATGTTAAAAATCTTGTGTAGCACTATATATCAGGCACTGTGCTAAGCACTTTATGAATATTAACTCATTTATTCTCCCAACAGCTCTATGTCCTTCACAATAGCACATGGTATTAAAGGACACAGAAAATACAGCTTTCACTTTTCCTCATGTTTTTTTCTGCCAAATTTGTCTTTGCTTTCTTTGCCAGGTTATCTTTCTTGACTTGACCAATGAACACTGAAGTTACTCAAGGCTCTGTCATGTCCTTGTCTCTTCTCACTCAATAACCCCCTCACTCCCAGGGTGATCTCATCCTTTCCCAAGGCAATTACTGCATACAAGTAGATGACTTCCTGACCCATTTTCTGAGCTCTAGTCCTGATTATCTAATTGACTAGATGGCATTTCCACCTATATGCCTCGCGGGCACCTCAGACTCGCCATTGAAACCTGAGCTCACCATCTCTCCATCACCTGTCACTCCTGCTCCCCCACTGTAACTGGCACAAACATCCACACAGTTGTTCAGACTGGAAACTCAGGAGTCATCATTGATTCTTCCCTATTCCTTCTTTTCTCCACATCCAATCAATCTCCATATCTCATCAATTAGGTCTCCTACATCTTTGTCAAACCATCTGCTTCTCTGCATCCTTACTATCATCGTCCGTGTCCAAGGTGCCATCAACTTCCGCCTTTGCTACTTTGATAGTCTCCTAACTGGTCTACCTATGTTCTTGGCACATCTTCCTTGATCCATTCTCCTACACATCAGCCAGAACAATCTTTCTAAAAAATACTGGGTTTGAATCTGGGTTATGCCATTTTATAGGCATGGAGGGTATGCCTGGGCATATCCCTCAACCTTTCTTATTCTTGACTTCCTTATCTATAAATGGGAAATAAAAATATGTCACAGGGTGACAGTAATTAAGAGAGAAAATCCAGATAGAGTGACAGAATGGGACATTCTAATAAACTGTGGATGGGCTATAAATGGTCAAACTTAAAAAGGAAATAACAATATGGAACTCTTAGTCCCAGATTGTTGCATCTCATTTGAAATAACAAGAATGAGTTCAGTCTATATTTTAAAACTTTAATAGGGAAAAATTCTGGGAAAACAATTTAACATGGGCTTTTAGGAGATGATGAATATAAGAACATCAAACTCATTGTGATGGTTAATTTTATGTGTCAACTTGGCTAGGCCATGGTGCCCAGTTTTTAAGTCAAACACCAGTCTAGATGTTGCTGTGAATGTATTTTTAACATTTACATTGGACTTGGAGTAAAGGAGATTGCCCTCAACGATGTGAATGGGCCTTATACAATCAGTAGAATGCCTAAAGAGCAAAATGCTGGGGTTTCCTGGAGATGAAGGAATTCTTCTATTTTTCTTTTCAAATTTTTATTTAAATTCTACTTAATTAACATACACTGCAATATTGGTTTCAGGAGTAGAATTCAGTGATTCATCACTTACATATAACACCCAGTGCTCATCATAACTAGTGCCCTCTTTACTGCCCATCACCCATCAAGCACATCTCCCATCCACCTCCCTCCATCAACCTTCAGTTTGTTCTGAAATCTCTTTAAGAGTCTCTTTCAGTTGCTTGGGTGACTCAATAAGTTTAGCGTCCAACTCTTGATTTCGGCTCACGTCATGATCTCATGGTCGTGAGATTGAGCCCCACTCCAGGCTCTGTGCTGGGCATGGAGTCTGTTTAAGATTCTCTCTCTCTCTCTCTCTCTCTCTCTCTCTGCCCTCCCCCCGCTTGCTCACATGGGTGCATGTGTGCTCTCTTTCTCTCAAAAAATAAAAATTAAAAAAGTCTTTTATGGTTTATTTCCCTCTCTTTTCTTTCCACCTCCCCCAATATGTTCATCTGTTTTGTTTCTTAAATTCCACATATAAGTGATAGAGAAGAAGGAATTCTGCCTCAAGACTATAACAGAGATCCTGCCTGAGTTTTCAGTCAGCCTGCCTACCTTATGGATTTTGGACTTGTCAGCCCCCACAATTGTGTCAGCCAATTCTCTAAAATCAATTTCTTTATTTCTTTCTATGTATGTATCCTATTGGTTCTGTTTCTCTGTAGAACCCCGATTGACACACTCACACAGGAATCCTATGATGACAAAGTATATCAGCAGCTAATAAATGACAACCCCAAGCAGCTTCAGGTGAATATTTTAGAGTACAGTAGAAAAAAACCCTCATCAGCTTGATAACATAAGCTCTAAATGGATAAACATGAAAGGATAAAGAACTTCAGGAAATAAGACTTGACTTATGCCCCTAATAAGAGAAAAGCCATCTTCAGGGAGTCTTAGGCTGTGTGAGGACCATGCACCTGGTAACAGTGGACCAGTGTCCCACACTCATCCACTTGGTCATCTATATGAAGATGTTTGTTGAACATTTACTCCAGGACAAGTGTTCTACATATCCAGAGCAAATAACAAAACCAGGCATTCTTAGAGCTGCTGTTCCACTTGTGTCTATGAGAAGTACTGAGTCCAGAAGAGCTTTGGTGGCCAGTATGTTCTGGCTTACCTGTAGAAAATGGTTGATGGATGCGTCATGAACTCCCAGGGCTCGCTCTACACCTGCCAATTCCTTCAATATTGGTACACATTCAAGACTTTTTTCACCTCGACTGATCTCAGTGTATTCTAAAGCCTCTTGATAGTGGGGCAGGGCTTCTTTTGATTTCTTCTGACTTTGATACATCCTAAAAAATCATCAGAGACATCATTTTTAAATAATGAAATAGAAGACACATAGGTGGGAAAAAAGCGATCTGGTGGTTAGGATTTGGCTCTCTGACCCCTGTTGTCAGGTTCATTTCCTAGCCAGCTAAGTTTCTGTTTTTCCCAGGAGCCCACAGGGCATAGTGGTCAGGAGGATGGACTTCAGAATAACCAAGAATTTTCAGATCCTGGCTCTACTACCTATTAGATGTGTGAATTTCCAGTTGCTTTACCTCTTCCTCATCTCTAAGTTAAGAATAATAACAATGCCTCCTTTACTGGGCTATAATGAAGATTAAATTAGTCAACACTCATAAAAATGCCCAGAATGGTCTCTGACATATAGTAGGTGCCATGCAGGTGTTGGTTTAAAAAACATAAAATACTTAAAAAAAATTTGTTGTCAAGTTAGCTAACATACAGCGTATACAGTGTGCTCTTGGCTTCAGGAGTAGATTCCCATGATTCATCGCTTACATACAACACTCAGGGCTCATCCCAACAAGTGCCCTCCTCAATGCCCATCTCCCATTTTTCCCTTTCTCCTGTACCTCACCATCAACCCTCAGTTTGTTCTCTGCATTTAAGAGTCTCTTATGGTTTGACTCCTTCTCTGTTTGACACTATTTTTTCCCCTTCTCCTCCCCTAATGGTCTTCTGTTAAGTTTCTCAAATTCCACATATAAGTGAAAACATTTGATATCTGTCTTTCTCTGAGTGACTTATTTCACTTAGCATAATACCCTCCAGTTCCATCTACATCACTGCAATGAGAGGATTTCATTCTTTCTCATTGCCAAGCAGTATTCCATTGTATATACAAATCATATTTTCTTTATCCATTCATCAGTTGACGGACATTTGGGCTCTTTCCATGACTTGGCTATAAAATCATAAAATACTTAACAAAACAATAATAACAACCATAAAGGATGCCAAGATGCTGATAACTGATCTGTTGAGAAATTACAGAAATTTTCCAGTATTGGTGAGGGTATAAAGCACTCTCTTTAACTGTTAGAAAGAATATAATTTGAGCATAAACATCTCTATATCAAAATTATATATATATATATGTATGTATACAAAAGCACACACATATTTCTGCTAATTGCACTTTTAGTAGTTTATCTTGAAGAGATACTCTGGCAGGGCAAGAAAATATGTATAAGAATGTTTACCTAAGCACTCTTTGTAATAGTGGAAAAGTACAAAGCACTTAAAATATACCAATAGGAGATCATTCAAGCAGATTACAGTAAGCATATCTATACTGTAGAATGCCACATAGCCATTAAAGTTAACGTTGATCCATATTTACCAACATAGAAGTATAAAAGTATAAGTATAAAAGGCAGAATACAAAAAATGCTTTCTATAATATCCTATGCAGGTGAAAATGTTATATCTAATCTATATGTACATATACGCATAAAAAGATATCTAAATGGACACTAAAATGTTACCATTCAATAGTTATCTGGAAGGAGTTGGTTGTGAGTGATTTTACCTGTCTTGTTTATGCTTTCTAAATTTCCCAAATTATCTTCTATAAAATTGTATTACTGGGGTGCCTGGATGACTTAGTTCAGTGTCTGACTTAGGCTCAGGTCATGATCTTGAGGTTCATGAGTTCGAGCCCTGCGTTGGGCTCTGGGCTAATAGCTCAGAGCCTGGAGCTTGCTTCAGATTCTATGTGTGTGTCTCTCTCTCTGCCCATCCCCTGATCATGATCTGTCTGTTTGTCTCTCTTTCTCTCTCTCTCTCAAGAATAAATAAACATTAAAAAATTTTTAAATTGTGGGGTGCCTGGGTGGCTCAGTTGGTTAAGCGTCCAACTTTGGCTCAGGTCATGATCTCAACTTCAGCTCAGGTCATGACCTCACGGTTCCTGAGTTCGAGCCCTGCATCGGGCTCTGTGCTCACAGCTCGGAGCCTGGAGCCTACTTCGGGTTCTGTGTCCCCCTCTCTCTCTGCCCCATCCCCACTCATGCTCTGTCTCTGTCTTAAAAGTAAATGAAACATTAAAAAAATTTAAATTGTATTACATCAGAATTTTATTGTATTTACATTTATTGTATTTACATCAGAATTATATTGTACTTACATCAGAAAAATGTTAATCAAAAAATTGTAAGTAAAGGTGGTGTTGGGAAAAGATTCTTTAGCTTCTTGGGATAAAACTCTGTCACGTAAAAAATATATATCTGTCTATTTTGTTTAGCAAACACAATAGTAGACATTTAAAAACAACCTTCTCTAAAATATTTGCTAAGAAATAGACACTTTCTTCATGCATGGAAAAATTTTACATGTAAGATTCATTATGAAAGGCACCAACCCTTTCTACATTACCCTTTACCCTAGCATCTTTACTACAAAAAGGCCTTATAATTCCCAGCTGCCCATGGGTAAACTGAGACATAATATGAGCACATGACTAGGAAACCACACACACACACACACACGCGCGTGTGCGCGCGCACACACACACACACACACAAATATATAGGTCTTGTTTTTAACTCAGTTACTGGACATTTTGCACAACTATTTTTGCTCTGTAATAAATTTCAAAGAAATTGATTGATAGAAGATGCTGTTCAGATCTACGCTTCCGATGGCAACAGTGAAATAAAATGCTGATGGAATAGCTTATGAACTTGGATGTGTTCTACAAATGGGAAGAAGTTGAAACACAGGAGATGGTCAGGGATATGTTCCTGGACCAAGTCGGGTCCAGGTTCCAGCTTGCAGCAACTCTTAATCTTAGAAAGGAAGAGATTAGTAGGCGACCTAGTAATACTGGGCTTGTCTTCTGACTCTTACTGAACTTTGGATGTAGTGAGCAATAATTAGCATTGTAAGTATCATAGTTTGTTTTTGAAGAGAAAGCCCACTTGCATCTTTGGTGACAGAACAAGGCTTTGAAACATATGGCTGATAACAAATCACTTAGCCCAAAAATGAGATTCCTGGTAGACAACTGAAAACAGGAGGCAGCAAACTGTGGCCTGTGCACCAAATCTGCTCACTGTCTTTTTTTGTAAATAAAGTTTTATTGGCACACAGCCACACCCACTTGTTTACACATTGCCCATGGCTGCTGTAGCACTATAATGGTGGAGCTGAGTAGCTGCAATGCAGTGGATACCAAAAAGCCTGAAATATTTACTGTGTGGGCCTTTACAGAAGAAGTTTGCCAAAGTCGGGTCTAGAATCCAGAGAAAGCTACATACTTCCAAAATGACTTCAGATTTTTTCCATCTAATTTAACCTTGAGAACTCCAACAATGCCACAGATATTTGAGCAAAGGGGGAAAAAAATCACCTTCTTCCTTTCTCATGTTCATAGGTGATGAAACATGTGCCAAGGAAATAAAGAATGGATTTTTTGTTTCCAAGGCTGCTGTAAAAATCATGGAAGGGTAATGAAGCAAATACAAAGTATTTGTAATACAAGATGATTTCGTCTGAGCAAAAGTTTTAAAGGAAAGCAAAATTCAAAGCTTAGTAATCAAGCTTACAAATGCAAAAAAATATATAGAAAAGTAAACAATAACAAGGCATAAGTGAACTCATACAATACAATTTTTCCTTTCCCAAGATAGAACACTAAAGAAAAGTATTTGAGAGTTTGTAATGGTGGAGAACAGGGACAATTTGCTCTTCCTTTTTACCATTAACCTATTAATCTCTTAGCCAAAAGCACAGCCTATCACCCCAGGTTAACACCACGTCACTTTTTCAGGTATCAGAAAGTGATCTTTCAAATACCAGACTCTTGGAGAAAATTTTATAAAAAGAGGGACACAGGGACTGCCTAGGTGGCTCAGTCAGTTAAGTGTCTCACTTTGGCTCAGGTCATGATCTCACGGTTTGGGGGTTCAAGCCCCACATTGGGCTCTGTGCTGACAGCATGGAGCCTGGAGCTTGCTTCAGATTCTGTGTCTCCCTCTCTCTCTGCCCCTCTCCTGCTCACACACACACACACACACACACACTCTCTCTCTCTCTCTCTCTCTCAAAAATAAATAAACATTAAAAATATTAAAAAAAAAAAAAAGAAGGACTCAAGATGAGAGGCAGGATAGTCAGTTACAAGTGCTGCAGCAGGAGTAGAAAACCCCAAGCATAGTTTGAGCATTGTTAGTGATGAGGCCACACAACCCTGGGCAAGAACAAAACATCTCTGAACCTTGGTTTCCTCATCTCAACACTGGTGTCCAATAGGGTTGTTGTGAGAACCCAAGAAGATGTCTAAAATGCTCTGCAAACTGAAGCAAGTTGTATAGATTGGCATTAAATGCCTATACATCGTCATACCTTTCACTCCTTCCCCTCCCAACTGGTAGTCTATACGGAACTGAGTGCCACGGCCTTGGGCCGTTCTCCTGTTGAAACAGGCTCAACTGTGGTCTCACACCCACCCGCAGAAGATTTTGGAAAGTCCAAATAATAAGGATAATTAGTCAAACTCATGTGCCAGTGTGGAAGGCATTTTCTTATCCAGCTAAGCTTTTAAAAATGTTGAGGATATTTTATTATAAGAATAATACGTATCCGTCATTTAAAAAAAAGAGATAGAAAAATAAAAATAAAAACTATACAATCACGACATCCAAAGATGAATACTGTACACCTTGATACACACCTTTCCAGATGATTTTCCACACATATTTTTTAAAAGAATCATAATGTTTTATAACCTGTTTCTGTCACTTAATCACATATCACAATGTGGCAATGAATGTTCTAGCCTCATTCTGGTGGTCGAGTGGTGTCATACACTTCACTGGCCACTTTATTTACTCATTGCTCAGCACAGACATTCCTTGGAGGACATTTGGGTGGTTTATGCCTTTTGACTGTTATGAACATTGTGTACAAGTTTTTATGTGGATGCGTATTTTCATTTCCTTTGGGTATTTACCTAGAATTGAAATTATTGCATCATATTGTAGTTCTATATGGAAACTTT